GCAGTATCTGGACATGCCTGACCTAGTGAAAAACGAGTAGTTTCCCTGCCCCACAGACACATGAAGTGCTTACGCCAGGACCCGCTTCTCCACAATGTGATTGAGGGAGGAGAAGACACCCTGCCGCACGTGGCCCTCCAGCGGCGGATAGAAGTTGGGAATGATCTGGAAGGGAAGAGGAGTGGAAAATGAGCACAGGACAGGACCTTCCATCCAGACTGTTCTGCTGAACTAGACCTAAAAGCAGCTTTGGTGCCAGTCAGGTAACACTGGGAGGTATGGCTGCAGAAAGGACAGGAATGTTCCTGATTGTCCTGCGCTGTTAAAATGGGAAAGTCTTACTCAGCTGCGGTGCTCCTCAAGGAGACAGGGTTTTACCTGAAGTCATCATCCCTGCGGCTAAGAAACCCCATGGAGACACGGAAAGATCCAACTGCAGACAGGGGGAATGTGGGAGAGAAGCTTCACCAACTTAGGACAAAGGACCAATGACCATGACCCACTTCTGCTCCCACAGTCAAGGGGCACTGGGGAGACCTATTCACTGACTGCCAAGGTTAGGACACACATTTAACTCTGCTGGGCAGACATGGGGAGAAAAAATGGCTATGGCACTTACACGGCACATGAAGTCCAGGAGTGTGGCAGTGATGGCTGGGTGGGGCTTCATGGAGTGATGCATGACCAGGATGGCTGGTTCTGGAGAGTGTGGAATTAAAGGGCCCCCCCACATCAGAGAGTCCCCATAAAACAAGGTATCAATATATACAAATGGCTCCAGAGAAAGCTGTCTTCCCCGCCCCCTTCTAGTTCTGCTGAGCAGACCCAAAAGTAAACACTCCCCACAACGGCTCACAGCCCTCATCTCCCTTCCTGTCCCAGCGTTCAGCTTGGAGGAGGGAGGTGGCAGGAGATAGCACAGGCTTTTCCTCTGCCTGGACCCTCCCTACTCAAAGCACGAACATAAGGCTATGGGGTGAAGGGGGTGGGATGGTCGCTCAGGCTCATCAAAGCAATTTTCCTTCTAGGTCAAGGGAGCACGGATGAGGAACAACGGAACTGCTCCAGATAAGCTGCCTCCACCCCACGCTGCCCTGACATTTATGGCCACTGTCTCTGAGACGAGGCAGCAGCGCTGGGGGGCTGGGCAGCGGTGCTGCCCGATCTCGGTCACATACCTATGTTCATAATGCTATCCTTGTCTGGGCTGAAGAACAGCCAGTCGTAAAACAAAGCCAGCTTGGCATTAGAGGCAGCGACATTTGACTGGAAAAAAAAAAAAGAGAAAAAAGAGACTAATTTCATCAACTAGCTCCCTTCCTGCAGAAGCCCAAGGCAGATTCCAGGGCTCACTTAACTGCTCCATCCACGAAATTAAGTTTCTAGTGAGTCAGGGTGGAACTGCCCTGGGGGTGAAGACACCCAAATCTGTATATGTGGTCTCACCATCCAAGGGGCTGGGGATTGGTCTGGGTTCTTGATCCCACAAGGAGAACTCTGGGCCTGGGGGTCCCCTGATCACCCCCAAGCTACGACACTCAGACTAGACCCTCAGCTGCCTGTGCTGAGCTCCCCAGGCACATTCCTGAAGGGAAGACCCTTAGGCATAGCTTGCTGTTACATCTGAATCAGCACATTCCAAGGACCCAGTCAGACAGGGAGGGGGAACCCTGTCAGGAGAGGTCAGAGGGCAGCTAGATGCCAGAGAACAGTTTCCCACCCCAGGCACAGAGAGGAAACGCTGGGAAGGAAATGGCTCTACTGTGGATTCACCCTGTTCAGAGAAGGGAAGTATCCAGAGTTGACGCCAAAAGGCCCGGAAGTAAGGGTGTAAGGAACACAAGACCTGAATGTGAGTCAGGAACACGTCAGAGGAATAATCATACGTGGTTTCTGGAAGCTAACAGGAAAGACAGGGATGCCTGAGAAACCCAGGCTTCGAGACTGGCAGTAAAGGTTCAGATGAAACTGTTCAACCCTAAACTCACATGGGAAATAAAAAATGTGAGTAAACTTCTAGAGATATGAAGGGAGGCAGGGCAAGGCTGAGATACTCAGGAGGAAGAGGGTGAAGAGGGGCCCTTCGGGGTCAGGTGGCCCAGAGTCAGGAGGGAGCATGGAGGTTCAGGACGTGAGGGAGAGCGGGGTCACCACCCTGTAACCTCCACCCCTCGCCCAGCCGCTCACCGTGCACGTTGTCAGGAGCCAGCCAATGATGGCCCATCGGGGCAAGATATCTGAACTCAGCACTTCATTGGAAGGGTGGACAACTCCACAGATGTAGCGAATGAGGTCACAGCGCAAAGACTGACTGTCTGGGGTTGACAGGTACTGACGCTGGAACCAATCCTGGTATCGCTTTTGTTGACCAAACCGCACCTTGGGGGAAGGAAACGTTAGAAAGAAGAGCTAGGAAGGGAGGGTGGGATCTCTGGCCAGAGGGAAATGAGCACCATTCGACTCCAGGTTTGACTTAGACCTCAATTTCTTCCCACGATTTAGTCATTAATTCTAATTGTCTCTCAAGTCTCTCTGCCTTTGGGAAGACATTCTGATTTAACTCTTCCTCGATTTAGAAAGAATGCTGTCTACTCAGCACTGACTGAAAGCTTTCCTAGGCTGAATGACCTAACAGGATCATTATCTAAAACACAGAGATTCTCCAAACCTTCTTCCACCCAAGTCCTTCCCTTAAGTGGACTCAAATAGCAACCCTTCCTAAGGGGAAGATCTAGATTTCCTCTTCTATTCCCAATTCAACCAAAATAGAGATGAGAAAGGTTTAAAAAAAAAAACAAAAAAACAAAACTAAATCAACACAGTCCAACAGAACATTCAGCAAGGATGGTGCCTATTGAGCTCCTAAAATGTAGCTGCTAACTGAGGTACTGGACTTTAAATTTTATTTAATTGTAACTAATTTAAATTGCAACATGTGGCCCAGATGTAGACAGTTCTCCTGGATGACCTGGGAAACCGAAAGTTGGCTACAGCAGTGGTTCCTTAACATCAGACTAGCTGCACAGAAGTTGCTGCCTGGAAAGTCTGTTAAAAATACAGATGCCACAATCAGATTCTCTGGGAGAGTAAGGTCCAGGAAGGTGTATTTTTAACATGCTCCTCAAGCAATGCTGTCATATTCAGCCATGTTTGGAAACCAAAAGGCCGCAGCTCTCTTCCTGAGAGGTCATGGCTCACCCAGAGGAACCATGAGTTTCCCAGAATGAACACTCTCACTCTACTCTTTTATGGCACATTTCACAATGGTAAATTACATTACTTATATACAAGTATTGGTTTAATGACTGCTTTAGACAGACTGAAAGCTTCGTAAGAACTGGAACTGTTATGTCTTTCTCAACACTGTATCCCCAATTCTTAGCTCTATGCCCAATCGCACACTTGACCCGCCCTCCACCAGACATCTGCAGGCTGAAGGCGGAAGTCCAGCTAGCACCTGCAGCTTCCCTTCTTGCTGAAGTGGGTTAGCTTACCCGGGATGTCATGAAGAGGAGCTTAGTCTCCATGTCTGGGGTTAGACGACATGCTAGGAATTTTCGAGATGTTCTTGACTGAAGAAGCTGTAGGATACCTGAACCAAGTATGGAAGGAAAGAGAAGAGAGCAGACTGATGACCAGGAGGAACAGAAGGCAGGCGGGTGACCTGGGCCAGGTACTGATGGCTCTTGGGGAGATTCTAAGACTCGACCAAGAGGTGGTTCTAACCAGCATCTGAATGATCTGCTCCATCCAACCACCATCCCCAGGACCCAGATGTATTCATTCTTTTCTTCTACTGGCCGTCCAGAGTCCCCTACTCACGTTATTCCAGTTGGCAACATGTGGGAAAGTTAGGGAAAACTTTGGGAAACCCTAGCCTCTCTTTCTGCTCCTGATGGTCCCACCACTGGGTCCTGGGATCAGTGTGGTGTTGTGGCATAAGCATGAGCTGTGGAGTCAGACAGACCTGGATCCAAATCCTGCCTCTGACACTTACTAGCTTTGTGGCCTTGGACAAATTACTTAATCTCCTTGAACCTCATTTTCTTTATCTGTAAATATGGAAAGTAAAATATCCACCTTACAGGGGTGTTCTGAGTATTAAATGAGTTAACATACACGAGCCTAGCACACAGCAGGCACTTAAAACAACTCAGTACATGTTTCCATAAAAGAAATTGTACAACATAACATAGAACCAGAGCTTGCTTCTCCTCTTTCCTGACTTCCTAGTCCTAGACTGTTACTCTCGTGTTGTATGTGCACATGTACACATATCACACACAGATGCATGCTGGAGAAAGGCTGGGAACAAAGCTGTACAGTCATTGTTTAGACCATAAGGACCCTGGGAAGGCAAAAGGGAGATAAAAAGGGCCTCGTTGGGGGAGGCACACAGACACGCTCCCTCCCCCACAGGGGATTCTGGCTAAGCTAGATCCTTGGAATTCAGAGGCATCACGGTTCCTGGGGAGGAGCCTTTGCTTACAGGACAGATTCCAGTGCCTCTGCTGAGTCAGTCTCACAAGATGACCTCTGACACTCCTGACACTCAGTGAAGCTGAAATTGGTCATCGGCTCACCTCTTGAGCCCAAGAGTTGCCGGGACAGGAGGAGGAGGAGGATCACAGTTCTCTATCTCACTTTTTCTTAAATGACAGACAACCAGAGCCTGCCACATAGGGACTGTCTGGGAACATGAATGGTTCTGTGTACTCCCGCCGTTCCCACATCCAGCTGTCCCTGGCAGAGCTTGCCCAGTCCCAAGCTTCTTAAACCTGACTGACTGCCAAAGCCTCTCCTATCCACCCACTTGTGCCCTCTATACTGACCTCTCAAGGAAAGGATGCTCCAACCCTTACTTACCTGTGAACTGAGGACTCAAGGCCTGAGGGTTATGGATAATATCTTTCCAAAGCAGTTCAAATTCTGGTATCCTGGCAACATTCTGAAGCAGTCTGACGAGGTCTCGGCCAATCATCAAACATTCCATGAACTAGATGGGGTGGGTGGTGGGAGATGGAAAGAGAATAAAAACAAGAACTGTCTACCTGCTGCAGGGAGGAAGGAACAATATGTTCTAGAGAGGTGAGGAAAGAGGGTCGAATGGATTACACAATTTTTTCTGGAACCAAGGGATTGGCTCCAAGCTGTTCAAGGGGAAGAGAGCTGAAGTTGGGGACCGAAATCAAGGAGAGGTTACTGAAAACTGCTGAAGTCCTGCTGCTGTCACGCTAATCTGTGGTCCTCTCCTCCTAGAATGGTTTCAGTCCAGGTCAAGGGACACAAACATTCCAAAAGGCTAGGGCTGGTAAGTTGAGCCCCAGACACCTTACCCCAGAACTTGCTTGGTCCAACAAAGCTTTCTGTGTAATGACATGACCTCTAGTCGTGCTGTCCAAAAGGATACCCATTAGCCACACGTGGCAAATGAGCACTTGAAACGTGTCTGATTCAACTAAGGAACTGAATCTAAAATTTTTATCTAATTACAACGTGCGTGTGTGTGTTTTTCTTGGCCACACTGTGCAGCATGTGAGATCCAAGTTCCCCAACCAGGGATTGAACCCATGACTCCTGCACATGGAGCACAGAGTCCAAACCACTGGACTGCCAGGGAAGTCCCTAATATCAATTAATTTTAATTTATATTGTGACACAAGGCTAGTGGCTACTGCATTAGACAGCTTTAACTCTAGGATCTATCTCTCCTGGGAGATCTGACAGTGGACAATTCATTACCCCCCTTGACCATGGCAGTTACCCAGGCAGGCAGGGGGATGGATGGGGGTAACATAACAGTGGGAACACAAGACAGCTTCTGTCTGTGATGTGCTGTGGGACAGCGTCCATGAAGCTGACCAGGAAAATCCCTAGGATGCCAGTGTAACCAGCAGCATTTTAATAACTGGGGCTTTGCTGTTGTTTAGTCCCTAAGTTGTGTCCAACTCTTTGGGACCCCAAGGATTGCAGCAAGCCAGGCCTTCCTGTCCCTCACCATCTCCCACAGCTCACCAAGTGCATGTCCACTGAATCAGTGATGCCATCCAACCATCTCATCTTCTGCCATCATAGGAACTAGGGCTACTCCACACTTATTTCTCCACCCTGATATCCTCATCTGTCTTACAGTGATGAAAAAACAACAGAACCTTAAACCACCTCCATATCTCCAACACATCTCTGGCCCCAGGTCACCACAGAACTGACAAGAGGTGTCCCTTTCTGGGTCTCACTTTCCTATGGGTTTTTTTGTCCTCACCCGCTCCCGAAGCAGTGAGATACAGAAGTCCACCTCCTTCTGCCGCAGCGCCTGGAGCTGGGCGGTCCCGTGGTGGTCGACAATGAGGCGGAGGTATGTGTAAACAGCCATGGCAATGAGGATGCTACTCTTCAGTACCCATTCCCTGCAGGGAGGGAAGACACGGAAGACATGGGCACCTGTGCTCCATCCAGACCCACCCAATTTACCCCCACACTTGGCTCCAGTGCCTCGGAAATGTCTGATGATTAGCACTGGGAGTAAGTTTCTGGTTCCTTAATTGCTCACTCGTGCTGTTGTTATCTATCTTGGACTATTAACTGGCCAAGGTGGGGACAACTTCCTCTCACCCTACCAGGTGCCCAATAAAGATAAGTGCTAAATGAAAGCAATCTCTCTCTACCACTTAAGTACTTAACTTCTAATAAAATAAGTTTGTTTGTTGACTCAGTCATTCAAACATTAATGGAGTGCCTACTATGTGCTAAGCCCCGAAAGAGATACAAGGGACAGAGGTAAGCCATAGCTTCCACCTGACTCAGGCCAGGAAGAAAAAGGTGTGCAAGCGTCCCTCAGTCTGCAGTTCTCAAAGTGCAGCCCAAGGACCTCTGGGGATTATCAAGACCCTTTCAGGACCGTGGAGGTTTCAGAACACACTGGGTGTGCTTGTCATTACCAGCCCACCATGTCACAAATGTTCCCCTGGTTTGTTCTCTGGCCACTAATCCCACTCCCAGTCAATGAGTCACCTGCCTTAAATAATAATCTGAAAAGAAGAACATGATTTTGGATGGCAAAGCCTATTTTCCCAGGAGTTTTAGACATTCCCTGGAGCAAAGGAGGTAATGGAAGAATTGTGTTCCCTGATGCTTGAAGAGGAGTACCAAAAACTGTGGGGAGATTCAAAGACTCCAATGCTGGCTCAAATCACCAAAACTGGGGAGCTGTCTCCCCTAAGCAAGCAGTTTGTAAGGGTTTTAGCACCCCTGCTGGAAGACAGGGAACCAGAGGAAGAAGATGGGGAGTTTAATTAATCCAACCAGGCAACATCCTGATTCCGGAAAAGTGCCTCAAGCCACCTAATTAAGAGACTCTGGCCTTCTCCTTTCACAGAGTAAAAGCAGCAGCCAAGGCCACTGGGGTGGGTCCCCCTCCTCCACCTGTTACCTTTTAATTCCACACCCCTAAAAAGACCTGGGAAGGAGTGGGAAAGAAGGTGTGAAAGAGGACAGTTTTAAACTTCAAAGGATTCATTTGCATTAAAAGATATGAGTTTTTTGAAGGGTAGGAGAAAAGGCAGGGCAGTTATCTGACACCTGTACAGTAAGACTGTGCTCTGACTGCCCAAATGAGAAAAATTCTGCTTTAAGGTATGGGAACAGGAGGTATCTGGCACCAGGAACAAAATTAGAAAAACCACTTAGGAAGATTGCCAGTGGAGGTGATGAATGTATCTGAGACGTGGGATGGGATAATGAAGATACAGATCGAAGTGAAACCCTCTGACCCAGGATGTTAGGAAGGCACAGTGACTAGACAAATCTGATAAGAAACTGCTAGGAGCGTGTGTGCTGTGCGCTGGTGCCAGTGAGGGAAGACGTGCTGCCAGCCGCACCTGCAGCTGCACATCCAGGCCCAGGGCACTAGGTGGCACCGCCTGGCAGAGCTGGCACAGCCCTCCGGTTCCGCAGTGCACAGAACACAGCCATCTCTTTCACAAGTGTGAGGAGGGGTTGAGGTCCCTTCTTCTAAGCCACTGGAAATACAGACTAGCAGCTGTCTCAATCATGTGACCACTGTGGTGTCCTCTCCCAGAAACAGACTCTGAAATCACGCAACAGGAAGACTGAGGCCACAGGACCAAGAGGTTGGCCTCACACCCAAACAAGTTCAAATATGGAAGAGCCCTCAGATTTTCTGATCCTTTACTCTGATGGAGAAGGGAAGGAATCAGCTGGTCTCATGCCCTCTGTACCACTGGCCTCAGTGACCTCCTCATTCTCACCACCCCCTGTGCCACTTCAACAAAAGGAGGGTGTGAGGAGGATGGACAGTCTTGGAAGGGAGAACAGGGGTACCTGCCAGGCCTGGGTGGTTGGCTGGCCCCACTCTGCTGAGTTCATTCTCCCCTACCTCCCGCCAAAGATAAACATTCCATGGCGGTCTGGATCAAAAATAAACCCTTATCAGATAAAATGAGTTTTTCCTGGGCTCCGAGATACTTTAGTAAAAACCTTCTTTCCCACTCCTTCATCCCTGGGCCACAGCATGGCATTCATTCCTTCTCTTGCCACCAGTACATGGCCGCTCCCTCCCCCACCTCACTCCCTCTAACCTGAGGTGTTCTTGGGCCACTAACAGCTCCTCACACAACCACTGCAACCCACACTCATACCCACTGTGGCCGTATCCAGCTCTTGCCCCACCCTTCATGACAGACTCTACCTCTGCTCCATCAGGATATCCAGAACACTCTCTGCCAACCAGATGTTTTTTGCTGTAACATCCCCACCTGATCAAAGGGGGAGAAAACAGAGAGTCAGAATGGCTCTGATTAGTGACTCAGCTGAGCCAGTACACGTCTTCTCCCTCTTACTGCTCCATCCCTGCGATCCCATCACTGGTGTTCTGAGGGCTGAAAAAACTGTCTTTGTTTGTCAGGCTTTAAAATTTCCCTCTTTGCCTCCAGAGAGACAGGAAGGGAAGGTTTGGGGTTTTTCCAGAAATCAGGGCTCCTACTTTCCAATGACAGGGGGTTGCAGTGGGATTACTTTGACCCCTAAAAGGGAATGTCTGGAAAGGAGATATGAAAAGTCCATAGCTGGAAAGAATAGAGGACATTTCAAATAGGGCCTGACAAGTGCAGGAGGCAAGCAACAGCTGCAGTCCAGCCACTGGATGTCCCAAATCCTGTGTTCAGCTCGAGACGGGCCAAGGGTTTTTGTCTCCAGGTATCACAGTCTCGAGTGCTTGCTATGAAACTTCCTGGGGCAGAATTAAACAAGCAGTAATGCCAGATCAAAATCGTAGGATCAGAAGTGGGGACTAGGAGTGCCAAACAGGGAAGAAAGTGCCAGGAGAATGGATAAAAATAGCCAGCACAACAACACTATGCCATGCCCCAGGTCCTAATGTAAAAATTCAATTTACAGAGTCACACATCACGTAGATTAAGGTTTATACATATCACAATGGGAGCATCACGGTTATATAAAATCCTGAAGAGGAAGCAAAGAACCAAGGGGCAATGGCGAGGTAGAGAGACAGGGTCATTTCTGAACAAACACATGTAATCTTGGGAACAAGTAGCAGGGGCAGGACTCTTGGATAATCAGTGGCTCAGACAGATGTCTCTGATGCCAAGAAGATAACGGAGCCTAAATGTCAGGGTCTGTTCTGTGACACAGTTTGTCCCTCAAACTGGCCCTAAGTGTTTAAGACATTGAGGTGGAGCCAGAGAAGATGTCGGGGGCTCTGAACGTACAGTGAGATGAGAACCAATTATTTTACCCTCACTTCTCCCCCATTTCTTCCAGATTCTTCCTGATCCAATAGGCCACGAAACCCCAGAGTGAGGACTGGTTACAACAGGCCAACAACAGGCTAAATATTCTATATCAGGCCTCAAGTTTGGCAGGAAGAAAAACGAGGCAAGACTTATCGCTTCAAAAGGCCCCCTGTAATTTTTCAATTTCTTTGTGCAACATATGTGGCCAGAAGATGCCTGGGTCAAAAGTAAAGAGTCTAAGAAATCCAGGAATCAAGTCCCTTAGGCACTCAATCTTTCTCCACTGCCTGGACTTAGGCATACTGCATACTCCTTTCTTCTTTATGCTCTTGCCATCCAACTCACCAGCAATCTGCTTCATGAATGTCATGCAAACACCATCAGCTCCCAGAACCCCACTCTTCACTAGTTCCCGTACCAACCACACCAACTAAAGGAGAGAAAAAAAGATATATGAAGTGAAGGGCCTGTAAACTTGAGAAAGGGTTCAATCCAATCATTTTATAAGTTAGGTGTACAAAGACAGGAGTGTGTTACCCCTGATTCCTCCTTCCCTTCCCCTTAGGAGAGGATCCATTCTCTGTTATGTCTCTGAGCTGGATCTCTCTTTTCTTCCTGGCCTTACCTGAGTACGGCAGGTATCCTGCAACTTCAAGTACTTCTCCATGAGTATCTGGTTGATTTTATTCAGAACAATATTCATGCCATCACGACTCACTAGAGCCAAGTCCCGGTAACACTGTAAGAAATGAGGTTTGTGAGCAGCCAGCAAGCTAAGGATAGGCTCCTGACCCCCCTCATGGTGGGCCCCCTGTCCCCTAGCCTCTCCAATGTAAATACTACCAATGGGATACAAGTGGCAGTGAAAAATTTTCTGCTCTAGAAGGCATGCTTACCATTCAATGACCAACACACAAGACTTTCCACTCTGGAAAGGCTTTCCACAAGCCTTCCACAGGCTCCAGCATCCCAAACCTATCCCTCGCTCTGTCACTCAGGGTGGGGAAAAGGGACCGAGTTACTCTAGTAAGACAGAAGGCCTGCTAAGAAAGGCTCCCTGTCCCCTCGCCTCCCTCCTGAGGGAGCGTCATACTGTTTGAAGCCACCAGCTGAGCAAGACCAGGTGGGGGCCATCTGCTTTTCATCTGCCAGCGAAAGGTCGCTGCAGACGGGTTTGGTTGAACAGGCCGGAAAGGATCTTAAAGAGACTTTTAGACTTGTACTGACACAGCCAGACGAAACAAAGGGCTAGGAGTATTAAGGAAAGAGGATCCATGGACCAGGATCCCGGAAAGAAAGGGCAGACCCAAACCAAACTTCCTTAACGAAACATCCTTCTTCTTTTCTCCAGGCTGCCCTTTGCTTCTGCCCAGTACTGAAGAAGGAAGGGCCTTTAGCACGTCTGACTTGGGGGAGGTAAGGGGATGCACGCCATCTCCTCCGAGCTCCCGCTTCTCTCGCCTTGTCTCTCTAAGGAGGCCAGGCTCCTGGAGGGATGCCTCAGGGGCCTCATCAGCGGCCTCCTCAGCCTGCTGGGTTCCATGCTGTCAGGGTCTCAGCACAAAGGGCAAACTTATAGATGGGCAGTACC